AAACTCTTGGTGGTTGTAAGTATGGGTGACTTGGAATTTCTCAGCCATGGACCATGTTGGCAGCCAATGTCCACTGTTGTACACTTCATTATCTAACCTTCTCCTAGGTATTGGCATCATTTTATGTTGCCACTTTTCTAGTTTGGTGGAAGATGTAGACAACCTATTCATAAGATATTTCCTTATCCACTCACACATAGTTAGTATAAATTTGTCCCTAACAACTAGTATTGTAGCATTGGAGGATTCTAATATGTTATTCATCAAAACATCGCATTTAGGGTAAAAAGTGAAGGCATGATTACACCAACTCTTGGTAGGGACTGCCATCAACCAAGTCCAAGCATTTGGATCCACTTTCTTTAATTCATTCATCTTCTGGGACCATGCTTGATAGTGTGTAGCTTTAGCAGCCCCCATCGTAAAATCCCTTATGAGGGATCCACCACCATTTTTTTTTTGAAATTTGCATATAAATGTATGAGACACAGTCTTTGTTCTATCCTATCAAACATCTCATCAAAGACAACAACTAGTCCCTAAAGCAGAAACAGTTGCACAATTAATACAAAACCAGCAAGTTAAAATAACAATTTAATCACTACATTAATAACAGTTAAGAGTATGCATACCTTCGGTTAATCGAAGATGAATACATATCTTCTCTCTTGACCAATATCTTCAATCAATAGTTGTATGAACCACCTCCAACTCTCCTTAGTTTTTGTCTCAACCACTCCAAATGCCAATGGAAAGTATTGATCATTAGCATCTCTCCCCACAACAATTAATATTTGTCCACCATACTTTGCCTTCAAATGACATCCATCAACCCCCATGAAGGTTCTACATCCATTGATAAATCCTTTCTTACAACCATAAAAAAAGGATCCAAACCTAGGCTGTATGGAAGGAGTAGGTCTTTCAACATTGATATTCACATTGTTACCAGGATTCACTCTTGTTAATTCAGCTGCATACCTCCATATGGATGCATACTGATTATTTGTATCACCTTCAATTACCTTCTTAGCTATTAACTTAGTGTTCCATGCTTTTGCAACAGTAATCCCTATAGAAATTTTTTGCCTGGTATCTTGCATTATGTCTTTTATCCTAACATTATTAGAAGTTTTCAGCCTCTTTACCACATGCTTAGCCACCCACCCAGAGTTGGCAGATTTGTTATCCAAAACCCTAGCACATGTGTGGGTATCCACAAGTGTTTTTATTGGAAAAGTGTGTTTGTGGGCCACTATAGAGCATAATACCAAAAATCCACATTTAGTCTTACATTGTACTCTAACTCTATAGCTTTTATTTTTTACAAAGGTAAATTCTCTCCCATTAAGGATTGACCACTCACAAATAGCCTCCCTAAATTCCACAAGTGAATTAAATTCCATACCCATCTTAAACTTATAATCCTTGTTGAGGTGATCTTTTCTAAACCTTTCATACTTAGGCCTTTCATCATCACAAGAATCATCCGGGTCATCACTATTCAACTTATCACTATGGTATTCATCCTCATCCATTATCTTATTGGGCCTACCAAAAATCCCACTAAGACTTACATCTTCATTCAATGTCAATGTAACATCGATTCCTTCAAATCCATCAAGAAGAGCAGTAGCTCTCTCATCTTCACTATCATCTAAACCTTCAACCATCTCCTCTTCCAACCCATCCATTTCTTTCACCTCATTGACACAATTAGGTTCCGTATCATCAACATCCAAGTCTCCCAGAGAATGTTCCACAAATAAATATCCAATGATATTCATTGCACTAAATAATGATGCAAAGTCATATGTATCATCATCCTTTTTTATCAAAATATATCCTTCTTGAATCTCTACAACTTTAGTCCATAAAAGAAAAGTTCCATTCTTATACCCCCCACCCACTCACCAACTTCATAATACGATCCATTGTCCAATTAGTACCTTCAAGCCCATTTACAGTCGAATCGACCCCCTCCCCCCTCTGTAAATAATTTCAGTTGGATTAACCCTAATAAATTTACGCCCATGGTGAAAAGCAACAGTAGAAGGTTGGAAAATCCTGTGAATAAATCAAAATCAGTTATCATAAATTCCCCACCGTATTACACTTTAATTATGATGAAGTTTCAAAATAAACATACCTTAGACATTGTAAGCTTCATCTTCATCTTTGTCATCAACTGATGCCTTGTCTTCGTCGCCTATGGAGTCGTCCTCTTCGCAGCACAAACTTCTTCACACAAACCCTAATTTTACAAGGGGGTATAACAAATAGAAAACGTAAATACAAACTGGGCAAAGTAATGATTAAATAAAAATGCCATGTGGCTAAAATAGAAATAACACGTGGCAAAAATTTCAAAATGTTACTAAAGATTCTATGACATCTGGCTAGTGGGGGTTATTTGAGGGAATCTACATAACATAAGGGGGAATTAAAAAAAACTTTACGAGGAACTAAAACCTGAACTCACTAACATTGCAGGAGAAATTGTATATTTAACCCTAAAATAAATATTAAATAAAATTTAATATTTATTATTTAAAAAAAAATGAAAGTATAATTGTTTAGTAAAATATAATTATCATTATTAAAAAAATTGAGAGTATAAGTGTTTTACAAAACAAAATATTTACGTTAATTATGATATATTTTAGATGTAACCTATATAATAAATAACTACAAACACGCATGTTTGAATGTCTCTTTAGTTTTACATCAATTGGATCCATGTCAGTCTCTGTTAAGAAATTTGGTTGGTCTAACTCAATCCTATAAAACTGGTTTGTATGGTGAGAATTGTCCCCACTTATAAGCACATGTTTAGGTCATGTATTATTTGATGTAAGACTCTTAACTCACCTTATCATGTCCAGAAGTGGACATTTAGAACATGAAAATAAATGGTGGGTGGCTCAATAGAGAAACTCTTATAATAAATGACCCACTAGATCTTAAACGAGGCTTTTGATATCATGTTAAGAAATGTGGTTGGACCTAACTCAGTCCTACAAAACCGAGTTGTAAGGTGAGAGATGTCACTATATATAAACTCTTGTAGTGCTATATCTCCAATCAGTCTGGAACTTGAGATTTTACTAATACACCCCTTCACGTCCAACACTCTTTTGGTTTGGTGCGTGGATATTTATGGTGTATAACCCATGGTCCGATCAATAGACTATGATATCATATTAGAGTTTAACCTAACTCATCCTTATAATATTATAGTTTGACATAACTCATCTTTACAAAAATGGCTTGTAACGTGAGATGTGTCATTTTATATAAACTCTTTCAAGACTTTATCTTTAACTAATGCGGGACTTGTGATTTTCCCAATACACTCCCTAACGCACAATACTCTTTTGGGTTTGGTGCATGGATATAAATGATGGGCGGTCCATGGTCCGATCGATAGACTCTGATACTATATTTTAGTTTTGTCTAACTCGTCCTTACAAAACTGACTTGTAAGGTGAGGAGTGTCACACTATATAAACTCTTTCAAGACTCTATCTTGTGGAACTTGCGATTTTCCAATACATATTGGTTAGATATAGAGCTTGAAAAAATGTATACAGAGTGACATCCCTCACCTTACAAGCCGGTTTTGTAATAATGAGTTAGGTGAAACTCTAATATGGTATCAAAACCTATTTATCCGTCCATGGGCCGCCCACTGTAAATATTCATGCGCCAAACTCAAAAGAGTGTTGGACGTTAGGGGTGTATTGAGAAAATCTCAAGTCCTACATTGATTGGAGATAGAGCATTAAAAGAGTATATATAGAGTGACACCTCTTATCTTACAAGTCGATTTTGTAAGATTAAAATAAATCAAACTATAATATGGTATCATAACTTATCTATCAGACCATGCGGCGCCCACCTTTTATATCCATGCACCAAATCCAAATTAGTGTTAACGTGAGAGGATGTATTGAAAAAAAATTATATTATGTGATATCCATCACCTTACAAACTAGTTTTGTAAAGATAATTAGGTTAAATCTAGTAACATGAAATCATGTTACTTTTTCACGTTTGGTTTATAGCTTCTAAAAAATAACGTAAAAACCAAATTTAGACGCGTTTTAAAGTGTCTATAAGCTAAATCAAACAAATGTTGAATTTATCATTTTTCATTTTTTTTTTGGTTTTTCACGTAATCTTCTCTACTAAGTTCAACGTCAATCACCCATAGACCAATTAACGATTGATTACAATTTTTCATTTATTTATATTTAATGTGATAAAAATTTGCTAATATCATTTTGAGAAGAAGAAAAATAATAATTATTTAAGCATAAGTTTCTCTAAGTTAAAATTTCAATTTTTTTTAGAATTTCTTTTATGAATAAATTTATATACAAGTATATTATTGTCAAAAAAAATACAAGAGTCGCAAAGAAAATAAATTAATATAATGATAGACATGTGCGATCCCGTACCGGAGCAACATGCTTCATAATATAAGGTCTCAAATTTTAGAGGATTTTCAAATTTTAAAAAAGATTCAATTTTTTTTATATTAAAATTAATAAATATAAAAAAATATTACAAAAAAATTTAATAAATAAAAAAAATGATATGATAAAACCCGATATATTAAAAACAATAAGATTAATCAAAATCAAAATAATTATAATTAAACTTTTTTTATTAATATATAATTATATTTTTTATATGTCCTTTTTAATTATTACAATTGTATTTTTTATTTAAATTAAACTCTTTTTAAATTAAAACGAAATTTCCGATTTGATTGAATGAAACCTAATAATAGATATAAAAGTTACGGAAAATAACATTATTTTATAATAATATTAAACCATACATCAAATCATACGATAATATCTTAGAAATACAAAATGCTAGAGTGTGACATATGTCACTCTCCAGATAGAAAATAGCATATTCCAGAATTTATTTAGCTGTTTAATCGGTTAAATACTGCATATCACATATATTACTATGCTGTTTTAGTTTCAAGGAAGTGTGTACTCTGCAAAGAAAAAAGAATAGGCTTAATTAATGACATTACTAAAATAAGAAAAGTGCGCACAAAAAATCAAAGACATGCATGCTAAAGTATATATGAATGGAACACTTACTTCCACATTTCTTTCCGGCAGGTCTGTTCCTAATGTTGCATCTCTTAGGAATAGTAATAGCAATAGCAAGATTAATCTTAGCTTGTTTAGCAAGAGGCGACAAAAGAACTGAACAAAGACATTTTGGAGAAGTTGAAAGCAAAGCACCAACTTTAGTACAACAAGCTGGTGAAACTTTTGCCCTCACATTACGTGTAGCATCTAAGCATGGACTTAGACTAGCAGCTGCTGAACCAATAGGTGTCTTTCCACATTCTCCAGCACCCTCACTTTCCATAATTAACACACTTGATGCCAACAGAAACATCACCACTGTTGCAAGGAAAGTTCTAACATTGAATTCCATCACCAATTTTTGTTATGGTTGAATGTCTTATGGTTTAGAATCACTGACTACTAGTATGAATGATTTGGTTTATTTGTGTATGGCACATTGAATTAGAAGGAGCAAGTAGCATAGTTATATAGTAGTAGTAAAGTTAAAAAGGGGCATGGCATTAGTACTAGTGGGGTGGTTGTGGTTGTGGTGTTAGGATATTCAAACTATAATCATTATAATGTTTCATCTTAGAAGCTTCACTATAATCAAAGAAAGATTATAATTCTTTCAATAACATAGCAAAAAGAAGTAACTCAGCTAAAAATGTAGTGTGAACATAGCAAAAGTTTGATGCACTTGAGGCTACCTCATGATTTGTTCCACTAAGCAATCATGTTTGAACTATAAGATCAAATCTAATTCAACTAATTTTATTGGTAATTCTATTATGTAAATAAATAAAAATTACGAGTGCCGACATGATTGCATTTCAATATTACGGAATACTTTTCATTTGTAAGAAAAACAAAAACTTTTAATACATATGAGATTTGAATACTTTAGGTAATTTAAGAACACTAATAGAATTCATGCATTGACGGTGATGAAATTGTATACACTGCTTTATTCTTTTTTTCATGTTGTTGTCTTAACTTTTAATACATATCAAAATAATTAATAATATTATATTATTTTTTAACATTTTTATATCACTTTTCCTATAATAGTTTTAATAAACTATCATTTTATTTAATATATTTTTATCTTCATATATTAAGTAAAGTATGGAAAATGTTTTTAAAATATTTTAATTATCGAAAAATGTTTATTGTTACAAAAACATGAAAAATAAGAAAAACAAGAATAAATCTCAACCATCCATTATGATCACTACTCCATATTTTTTATTAAAAAGAAAATTAAATTTTAAATAAATTTAGAATTAAGCTTTAAAACATTCAAAGGCATGTTAGATTAATTATTTAATTAATTAAATACAAATTAACATAATTAATTATAGTATGATCTATCATTATTAAACACTAATTATTGTTGAATTATTTGATTGAGTTTTGTGTTCGGATGAACCGTCATGTGTTTGATTATTTAGTTAAGCCCAATGAGTGCTTGTTGTCTTCAACTGTTTAGTTATTTAATTGTTATTTTATTAGACGATTAACGCACTCTTGAAATCTTAAACATTAATGAGGAAAGTAATCCTCTCATACTTCTTCAATATGCTATATTTGTTCTATGTGTAATTTATTCTTCTTTAATTTTACCGTCTTTTTTACAATTACAAGGGGGAGAAGTAACTCTCAAAGAGAGTAAAGTATACTCTCTTAATCTATGAGAGAGAGAGTTTAACAACTCCAACTATTTTATCTATATCTATATCTATATATTTTACCATTTTCTTAAGAGATGTCTTGTCATTATTAAAAGGGAAAAAATATCACTCTATGTGATGTGAAGGTAATATCTTCGAATAATTTTGATGAAAACAACTCTTAAAATGGTTCTTTATCTGAACAACAAAGAAATATATCTAAAGTCTCCTCAAGAAAGTACAAGTTCAAATATTAAAGGTCTAAATAAAATAGAAAATTAAAGATGAATCAAAAGGAACTAAATTTTAGTTTCATTTGAAAGAGTCAATCAAAGTCAAATCAAGTTTAAATTAAAGGAACTAAAGTTGTGAAATCTTATCTAATATTTCCTTAGAATCATATCTAGTTTTTTATCAGTTAATTGTAAATGAAGCAAGAGTAAGTCTTGAGGTACTAAAGCAATGTGCGCACACACACATAAAGTATTTCAAACTTCGGATATCTTTTATAAAACTTCTTAAAATCAATTTGTGAAAGTTCTTAAATGACTAAGAAGTTTGTTAGATTAATTAGAAAGGTAAAATACACTAATTAATCAATTAATCCTTACTTTAAATCGATTTAAAAAGTGAAACACCTCTTAACCAATTAAGAAGGCTTTTAATCGATTAACTGATATCGAAATTTAAAGTTTTCTTTTTTGTCTATAGCTAGTCGATGAAGACAAAGATTTAATCTATAAAGAGGTTAAAAAGCCCATTGACTCCCACCTTTTTGGGCCATATTTTTGTCTATATTCTCCTCATTTCAAAATATATCATTTTTTAATAGAAATTATATCGTATCTTTCTATCTCTCATTCTCTTATAAAGTTATTTTTCACTAGAATTTTTTTAGTGCCAAGAGAGTGAAAAGTTCCATCCGAGAGTTGTGTTGTACTAATGTTATGTTATGATTATTTATTTAAGTGTGTAGTTCTCTTGTGATCTTTTTGCAATATATTTGAAGGTTGCAAGTTAAACCTATAAAAATCTTGGTTTAAGTTTATTGAGCTAAGTCTATGTAAAAATTATAGTTGTTTGTAAAAGGTTATTGAGTTGAAATTGTGTAAAAGCTATAAGTTGCTTGTGATTGAATTTTGAGTTGATTCTACACAAAAGTTCAAGTTGTTTTGTAAGGTTTTTTTGGTTGGTCTTTGTGCAAAAGCTCAAGATTTTTTCAATGGAAATATCAAGGTTAAACTCTTGGGGACTAGAGTGTGCCTAGTTGTTTAGGTCAAACGAGAATAAATCTTTAATGTGATATTTCTATACTTTTCTCTTTTATTTATGCTATTTATTTTTATTTCATTGCTCATTTCTCTATCTATTATATTTTCTATTATTTTGCTACTTCATCTCTGTTTATTTCTTTCTCATAATGCTAACCCACTTTAAAATCAAAGCATTTTTATAAATCAGATTTTGAAATCCAAATATCACAACTCACCCCTATCCACTTGTGTTTGGAATCACTAGGTCAAAAATATTTGAGTAAGTCTTTTGTGACTTAAACATCAAAATTAGATGGATTACTTTTCTTCAACTATTGGGATTTGAATTAATCAAATGCTACATGAATCGACTTTTTAACAATATAGGTTATATTGTTGAAAACCCTATAAAATTTTATACATGAAGAATACCTAAGAAAGATACCTTTGTTGACTTTAGCATTGAACTTATCTAACTTTTCTTACCATTATTTAGAATAAAAAAATTACAGTCGAAAACACATAGGTAAAAAATATTTAGATTTCTTCCCTTAAGTAACTCACATGGTGTCTTCTATAGGATAGGACTAATAACCACTTTATTAAATATGTGGCATGCCTTGTTAACCACATCCGCTCAAAGTTACTTAGCTACACTCATTTTCCTTATCATAGTCCACTCTTGTTCTTTTAAAACATAATTTGTACGCTACAAAACACAATTTTGTTATGGAGTATGTAGACATGAGTTGTGGGTTATATTGTTTTCGTTGCAAAATTATTTAAAGTGGTGAATAATAATGGGTGCAGCTTGCGGAAGCTACCAACCATGTTATAATGACACTGTTGGGATTTAACATGGAGTGAACTTTGGAAACAAAACCACATATTGTGTTGTAGTTTTTCTTAAACTTTCACATGACAAAGCCAATTCATGTTACAATTGCCATCTCAATTTTCACTCAGTTGTAAAAGTCAATAGTAACCATTCGAGCAAGTATATGCACCTTTTTTAGCATGATTCCAAGTCCACGCACCTTGATACATTTAATCTAGGGTATTCAATGTTGGGAGTTATTGGCTGTAGTCAATAATATCATATAATATTATGTCGGTAAGAATTTTTTCAAGTCCCACACATTGTCATGTAATATATCCTTCAAGCATGTAATCATATTGCTGATGTTAACAAACAAAACTTAATGACAAAAAATACTAATCCTAATCTAGTAAATGTACCAAACTAATGAAACTCTGGATTAAACTGGAAAATTGAACCCTTTTTTGAAAGTAGTAATAGTGTGTTGCATACCTCTCTAAGTAAGCGAGGTTTTATTATGCTTTTTATCAATCGACATGGAGCCATTGTCCAAGTAATTATGGGAAAGAACTTGCACCCATGATTTATCTTTTATATGGAGCATATGCGATAACAACTTTCCAAGAAGGTATTTATTAGTAAGTTCAATATCTCGAATGCCTAAGCCTAAAAAATGTTTAGGTGTGGTAATCGTGTTCTAATTGACATAATTCCACTTTCATGAAGCCTAATTCCCCTCCCTGTGATGTCAAACTTCTTCAACATTATGTTTTGATGAAGACAACTAGTATGTGTATATTTCAAAGGATGAGAAAAAGAAACATGAGAAAAATGATGACTGACATTGATCTTAATTTATTGAGGTATAAGCATGCAATCTATATTGATAACTTAGTGCTCAAATTACTCCAAATATTCACTTGCATGCATGGTCCAAAATAGTTGCATTACAAACTATTTCTGCATATTAAAACAAATATTTTTTAAATTTTCAGTTCAGGAAATCAATTACCCCTATTTCAAAAATCAATTTCCTTCACAAAATTTTGAATTTCCCGAAAACACTTTTTAGGCATGGAAATCGATTGCCCATATTTCATAAATCGATTTCCTTCACAAAATTTTGAATTTCTAGTAAACTGTTTTTAGGGATGGAAATCGATTACCCCTATTTCAGAAATCAATTTCCTTCATGAAAATTTGAATATTCAGTTGCAACGTTTCACAGAAAATCAATTACCCCATTTTCCAAAATTGATTTCCTGAGTATGACAGTAGCTTTTCAGTCTGTTTTGAATTTGAACATTTTGAATAACTCATTCCTTAACCATTGCTTCTTTTCACTTAATCACACACATTCATAGAGGTGTTAAGTTTCTATATATACTCTTATTTTTAGAATTCAAAACTCACCTCCTCCATTTCAATTTAACATCATTTTATTCATTCAAATTTCAAACAAGTGTTTTGATTCTTCAACTTTGACTGAGAATTTTTCTACATTTGTTCTTCATATCATTCCAGAAAAATTCCTCCGTCATTCATAAACACTTGAGCACTAATATATATTTATAAATTGCTTGTTTGGAAGATAATATCAATCTTAGTGATTCCTACATATTCA